TCTCTCTCTCTCTCTCTCTCTCTCTCTCTCTCTCTCTCTCTCTCTCTCTCTCTCTCTCTCTCTCTCTCTTCTCTCTCTCTCTCTCTCTCTCTCTCTCTCTCTCTCTCTCTCTCTCTCTCTCTCTCTCTCTCTCTCTCTCTCTCTCTCTCTCTCTATATATATATATTGATCTGCATACGTGACACTACACACCTGTTACGAGGTTCCACTTACCTCGCTGCCGATACCCATGTGGCGCAGGAAAAATCCAAAAGGACGGACAAGCCCATGGAGGACATGTCAAAACAACAACCAGGACATAGCGCATGGAGCAGCAACAAGCGCGCCCGCCCACGGCCCATCCGCGTCCGCGCCCCCCCGCCCTGCCCTCGTCCAGACCGCCCGCCGTGCTCACGGCCCGCCCTCCTGCTCTCTCTGTTTCTCTCCTCCTCTCCTCCGACCAGCGGTAACTGGAGAAGCTGTGGTCCTTATCCCCCCGGGGTACCCATCAGATCCAAGATTTGCTTTCCTGGCGCCCCCGCTCTCGATGAGCGCGACCAGCGCGTCGGCCATCGCGCCGGGGGTCGTTGTGCACGCAGCGAATGGGACATTTTGAACTGAGCAATCACGCGGTTTGTTGGGCGCGGCTCGCGCAAACTGACAGACATTGCCTGCTCAGCTGCGTCGCGCGCGCCGCGCCAAACGAGTGCCCCCCACAGCGCAGGCGCGATTACATGTTATCGGCGCGTACGTGCCAGTGTCAGACGGCAGTTCGCTCGCGATTCCGAGTGGCGCGAGCGATCGCCTGAACTTAGCTGCCATCGGCTTCGCAAGCTCGGTTCAATATGCGCTCCAGTCCGTGCAATGCCACCCCGATTCGCAGCGCCTGGATGCGGAGCGCTGCCGCTGGGTCCGCCAGGCCCTGCAGCCGCGAAGTTAGAACCGCGTTTCGCGGGACATTGGTTACAGAAGGTGGCAACTCATCGGAAATCTCTCTCGGCGCATCCTATGCCCGCGAAGTTCGCGCGCGCGGGAATTCCCGAACGGTTACTCGCGCACTGCCAAGGCAATGCCAGATGGATCTGCGCCTCTGTGCTGCGTGGAGGCGCGCTCGCTGGGCTGCGCGGGCGCGATCAGGGAGAGCGTTGAACGCGCTGCGGGCGTAGGAACTTGGCGCGGTAGCTGGTGTCGAAGCGGGGGGCGATCGTTTTGCCTGTTTCTCCGCCTTCGGGCAACGTCTCCCGTCGGCCAGGGGTCCCCGTGCACGACGGCCAGAAGTTGGGGACGTGTAAGCCGTCAAACGGCATGGGGTATGGGGGCGCCCCAGCCCGTTGCCACCGGACGGCGGGCATTGGCATAGGATGCGGCCCGGTCAGCGGCACCGGGGCTTCCGGGACCCCGCGGGGCAGGGCGCCGCCAGGGGAGGGGGCAATAATTCGGGGGCGGGCACGGGTCCCAAAGGACTCCAAAAATATCCGTGCAAGCTTGTTGCAGGCACCGCCGCGGTAGCCTTCCCTAGTAGTGTTCCCCTTGAACGATACTGCCCCCGGTCTTCGCGACAAGGCCGCAGAGGCGGAACCAGTCCGGCTCCCTTCTGACATACCCGGAAGTGTTCCTCTGGGGGACGAAAAAGCATACCTAGTAGTGTTCTTCTAGCGGCGAAGAAAGCTTACCTAGTAGTGTTCTGCTAGTGGAGAAAAAAAACTGCCACTTTGGAAGCCCCCTGGGGGAGTCACAAGCCACTGGGGCGGAGAAAGAAATCGGCGCGCAAGGGTTGCACGGGAAATGTTGGGCGGCCGAGCGCCACCCCCTGGCTCCCCCATCCTCGCGTGCCGTCATTGCGGAAGACCAGCGCACCCTGCGGTCCCGCGAGGGCGTGTCTTGCATGCCCGTTCCTCCTCCTCCTCCTCCTCCTCCTCCTCCTCCTCCTCCTCCTCCTCCTCCTCCTCCTCCTCCTCCTCCTCCTCCTCCTCCTCCTCCTCCTCCTCCTCCTCCTCCCTGTCCTCGCACTCCTCCTCCTCCTCCATCGATCTCACGCCCCGCTCCCCCCCCTCCACGTCGCTTCTATCATCCTCACCACCTACGTCGATGTCCTTTCCTCGTACCCCTCCTCCACCCCTGCTCTGCATTCTCACTGTCGTCGTCTCCCGCGTGGTCAGGGTTAGAAGGGGAAGGTTCGCAGCGCCGCGCACGCTCGTTCCGAATATTTGCAACGGTTTCGCGCCGACGGCCCGTTGCTGGCGGCCATCCCTGCCCTTTGGTTTTCGAGGGTCCCCGCATTCCGGTTCAAAATCATATCGCATGACGTTCAAGTACTGTCGGGGTGGCGCCCCCTCGGACACGCAGTGGCGCAATCTCCCTGCTGCGCGCTGCGTGGTTGGCTTGGTTTGTTTCGATCGTTGTTGCGAGGCGCGGGTCTGTCGGATATTTTTCTTAGTTTGTCGATGCGGCGCTGTTTATCGTCGCGCGTCAAGCTGCCACATGTCAAGCGATTGCGTTGTTTCGCACCCGATTGCCCCCATGCCCGCGTGCCGTCCTCATGGAAGCGCTTGGCCGGCTCAGCCAAAGGTGCAGGATGCATGTTGTGCCGGTGTCCTGACATCGGGGTGCTATGGGCTTCACGCTCATGTTTGTTTGGCATAGCTGTCTTAGTTGTGGCGTTAGCTTGAGACGGCCATCCCAGTGCCGGGTCGAGTGGGATTTCTGGCCCTGTCCAGCGAAGGGTTTCGCGCCACCTTCAGGGCTGATTCCAAGGCCGTCGCTGCTACCCTACAGCATCACAACAGTACGAAGTCTCAGGTGCAACTGCTTGAAATTACATCAAGGAGGAATATCATCTAGGAGCGCGCCCCCAGCTCCCCCAGACCCTTGCTCCGACACTGCAACTTCTTCGCGGCGCGGGCCCCGGGGGGCCTCGACCCCTTCACCCGAGCCGGCTTTTCATCCTGAGTCGTTCTCTGACGGTCCCCGGAGCCGGGGGCCAGGAGACGGCCTCCAGAGGCCGAAAACGTGCCGCTGGGATCTGAAGGTCTCCCTCATTCGCCCCCCTCGTCCGTCCCTGCTCCCTCCTCCCACAGCGTCCCCGCTCCCCCTGCACAGCACCCGCACGCTCTGGAGCCAGCGCGCTTTGCACGCACGCCTAGGATTAGGTCGGGCGTGTCCCCCTACATGCGGATATTGACGAAAAATAAAGAATACCCAAAAGTACCAAGAAATAGTCAAAAATGGTCAAACAAATCTTCACCTGCCTATTTTTGGATTATGTTTGAATATTCCTGCTGTAGAGGAACAGGCCCGATTTAAGCCTAGGAGCCGCCGAGCGCACGCGCCCGGGGATGGCCAACCCCTGAGCGCGCCTGACCGATTCTGACAGAGGACGCCGGCAAGAACCGCCCCCCCACACCCTGACCTCGTCGCGTCGCGCAGAAACACACAACGAAACGGCGGAGCCCCGGCTTCCAGAAGGAGGAGAAAAGAAAGAAACCCAGAGACCCCTTGGGAAGAAGGAGCACTCAATGAGGGTTCTTGGGTTTCCTGCATTCGGAAAAGCGGATTTCTGGAAACAGGGACCCAGGGGGGGCTCCCGAGAACTCTAGAGTCCACGCCCGAGGCTGGGCTTCCAGGAATTACCAGATTATGGAAACCCATAATCAGACAACAGACGTTTATTCACCCCCCCATTCATCGTCCCCGATTCGCATCGCCCGAGTCTTGAACATTGTTTAGCCTCTGGGGGCCCTCGCCAGGCCCCGAAGCACGAGAAACTGCCCTTCAGACGGAAAATCAAAAGCGGCCACCCAGGAAGGGGCCCAGACACCCATACACACAGACACACACACACACACACACCACACACACACAGCTCGCGTCTGGAGGTCGGTCGACAACGTTCGCTGGAACCAGACCAAAACGGCGTGACCAAAAGGCGTGCCCAAGAGATACGAGGGCCCACGAAGGAGGGGCAAGGCGCGCGAGGGAAGGCCTCCAGGGCGAGCAAGAGCACGACGCCGGAGACCAGACCAAAACGGCGTGACCAAGAGGCGTGCCCAAGAGATGCGAGGGCCCACGAAGGAGGGACAAGGCGCGCGAGGGAAGAGGAGGAGGAGGAGGGGGGGGAAAAGGAGGAGGAGGAGGAGGAGGAGGGAGGAGGGAGGAGGGAGGAGGAGGAGGAGGAAAGGTTTGTGCTGTGCTTTCTAGGGCCGACCCTCCCCCCTCGACGCGCGGGGGCGGCCCTCGCCTCCGCCAGTGGCTTCCGTCGTCGGGGGCGCCCGCCGAGATCCGAGAGGCTCGGCGTGCGCGCGCCATGCCACGCGGCAGCGAGTTCCGGAGTGGACGGCGGCGGCGACGGCGGCGGCGGTGACGACGGCGACGAGGACGAGGACGAGGACACAAGCACAAAGCGACGACGACGACGACGACGGCGACGGCGACGACGACGGCGACGACGACGACGGCGGCGAGGGCACGAGCACAGAGGGGGATCGAGCGACGAGGCGACGGGGGAGAAGGACGCCTGCAGGCAGTCTAGTGATGCCGTGCCCCTCCTCGGCCTCGCGCGCGCTAGGGGGCCCTCGACCTCCCTCGCCCCGAAATCGCGGAGAAGATCGCCCTCGCCCTCCCCTTCCTGCCTGGCCGCCGTCTCCCCGCAGCCCCCGCAGAAGGACCTCGGGAACCGTTTTGGGGATCACCCGCGGGCAGCCCGTTCGTTCTGCTCGCCCCCCCCCCAGGGCCCCCGAGGGCGGCCCCCCTCGAAGGCCCCCCAGTTGTCGCGACAAGACGCCCGTGGTGACTTCTGCTTCTCCGCGGCGCCTGCAACGCCTATTAGCGCTCCTCGTACTCCCGCCACGGCGGCGACGGCGCCGACCACGGCAACAGCCACGGCAGCGACGACGACGACGACGACGACGACGACGACGACGACGACGACGACGACGACGACGACGGCGGCCATCCGCGGGGCATCCGCCGCGGGTGGGAGGAGGGTCTCTGGGGCAGCGCGCGGGGCCCGGGGTGGGCGGGGCCTCTGCAGCTGGCAGGACGCGAAGAGGCCGATGGGGACGGCTGCTGGCAGCGAGACCTGCCGGGCGAGAGGTCAAAGGACCATCAGGGTGGAGGAGGAGGAGGAGGAGGAGGAGGAGGAGGAGGAGGAGGAGGGGGAGGAGGAGGAGGAGGAGGAGGGGAGGAGGAGGAGGAGGAGGAGGAGGAGGAGGAGGAGATGGCGGAGGAGATGGAGAGGAGATGGAGGAGGAGATGGAGGAGGAGGGAGGGGGGAGGGGGAGGAGGAGGAGGAGGAGGAGGAGGAGGAGGAGGAGGAGGAGGAGGAGGAGGAGGAGGAGGAGGAGAAGAAGGAGAAGAAGGAGGAGGAAGAAGAGGAGAAGGAGGAGGAGGAGGAGGAGGAGGACGGGTCGCCTAAGCCCTTCGGGGAAACCCTCCACCATCAGAATGGAAAGTGCGGCGAGGAGCGAGGGCTCTGGGCGCTCCTAGCCGTTCCTGGGCCTCCGCGTGGCCACGGCCGGAGCCGCCCAACAGTTCTGGTCGGAGCGCACCCGAGCGAGGCCAAGGGCCCTGGCCAGATCCGCAACGGGGGGGGCGGGCGGATGGAACCTCCTCGATCATGCCATGCCACAGTGCCAATCGATCCTCTTGTTCCAGGGCCCCAATGGATCTGGAACCAAGCGAGCAGGTAAGTAAGATCCAATAAGATGAAATCCTGGGGCGCCGTTCCCCCCGTGCAATGCTGCGCAGACCTCTCGCACACATTCACCAAACCAGGCAGAGCGAAGTGAATCTGGGTTGTGAGCAACGGCCGCCGCCGTTGCTCACAACCCAGATGGAAGTAACTGCAGGATGGCGGAAGTAACTGCAGGATGGCCTGGGAGTAGCTTTCCGCCAGGCTCCATGCGCCCGACTCCGCGCTTCGCCGTGCCGCGCGCACGCCAGCGGGCACCGCATGGCACCGCAGCCCCAAGATAGCGCCCACGCAGCCGCGTGGCGGCGTCGCAGGTCCGAACGGCGAGGAGGAGGAGGAGGAGGAGGAGGAGGAGGAGGACGACGACGACGAGGCAGAGGGCGGAGGAGGAGGAGGAGGCAAGACGAGGGTCTGGGAGGAGGCACAGTGCCCAGAGGAGGGCCCGAGAGGAGGAGGACGAAGAAGACGGCGACGCGGCAGTGGAGAAGGCAAGATGAGGGCCCAGAGGAGGCGGTGGAGACGATGGCGAGGCGGAAGTGGAGGACGCAAGAGGAGGACCCGGGAGGAGTGACACCAGCTGCAGGGTGGAGGTCAGAGGAAGCCTGGGCAGTCAGCATGGGGCACGGCTCCTCGGAGGGAAGCTTCCTTGCACACTGGCGGAGGGAGGGCGCCGCCAGCACCACAAGAGAGGCCAGCGACAGAGAGCGCACCCCAAGAAGGACACGGGCTCAAAAGGGGGGGCAGGTTGCGCGGGTGAGCCGGAGGGCCCGGAAGAAGGGAAGAAGGCAGAGGAGGAGGCCTCGGAGCATGCCCTCGGAGGCCCCGTGTGCCTCACCCCGGGCCAGGTCGCGGGCTTCGCTGCTCGTCCTGGAGTTCTCGACCCACCGTCCCACCCCGCTGTGCCTGCTGCCGCGCTCGGGACTTCGTCTCAGGTCGGGCCTGTTCCCCTGCAGGCGGACTGTGGACGACAAATCAAAAAGACCCCCCTAAAAATATACCCAGAAATTGCCAACAACAATAGTCGAAAATGCGTCCCCAGACTATGTTTTACCATTTTTAAAAATTCCTCCTGTAGAGGAACATGCCCGACTTAAACTTCGTCGGGGTCGTTTTTCGGGCCGAGCGAAAGGGGGGGATAGCCAAGGGGGGGGGGTGAGAATCAGCTCACGTAGCTAACTTTCCTGGCGCCGCCCGGCGCCGGGAGGCGCCCATGTATCGAGGAATGGGCCCGGCGGCGGGGCCGAAACCAGCTGCATGCAGCAGATTTCGTACCCCCCCCCTTTCCCTATCCCCCCTGCAGGCGGATTTTGGACGACCAAGCAAAAAGACCCCCCCAAAAAATAGACCCAAGCATTGACAACAATAGTCGAAAAATCGTCCCCAGACTATTTTTGGCCTATTCTTGCATATTCCTCCTGCAGAGGGAGACACGCCCGACTCAAACCTCGTCTTGAGTCGGGCCTGTCCCCCTACAGGCGGATCTTGGGCGAGAAAAAAAATATTCAAAAAGATACTCCCAAGATGCTCAAAAATAGTCAGAAAATGGTCCCCGTACTATTGTTGGCCTATGTTTGCATACTCCTCCTGCAGAGGGAGACACGCCCGACTTAGGCCTCGTCGCGGTCGTTTTGCTGACCCTGCAGGGCGTGGCCTTGCTGCTGGAGGCAGGCCGCGCCCCCGGCGCTGCGGGCCAGGTCGGCCCGACGGCGCGCCGAAGAACAGGATGACTTCGGGCGTGGCTTTAAGTCGGACGTGTCCCCCTACAGGAGGATCTTCGACGAAAATTCACAAAATACTCAAAAGAGATTCCACAATGGCCAAAAAATAGTCAAAAAAGGGTCCCCAGACTCCCCCTGCAGAGGGACAGGGCCCGACTTGAGCGTGGCTCTCCGCGGGCGGGCAGGGCGGCCTCTGGAGGAGAAGCCGACCCCCCCCCCACCCCACGCCCAGGCCCGACCCCACCCCCGAACCCGCGCGCGATTCGAGGGGTCGGGACTGGGGGTGGGGGTGGTTTTTGTTCGGGGTCGGGCAATGGAGAAAACTCCCCCGCCCCCACCCCCGGGTCCCGACCCCTTGAATCGCCGGCTCGGGGACGGGCGTCGGGACGGGGGGTGGCGGGTGGGTTTTCGCCCTCTGCCTGGGGGAGGCCCCGGGAGCGGCAGGTGCAGCCATCGTGCTACAGTCGGGGCGTTGACCCAAGGAACCGTAAAGAAGGAACGAGGCCCCTTTTTCCCATAACTCAAACTCTGATGTTCCATGGAGAAAACCTCAGGAAAACCCAAGGAACACTGTAAAACAACCAAGGAGCACGGAGCCCCTCCCGCACGAGAAGGGTTCCTTCTTCAGCGGCCCGACTGCACCGTGAGGAAGGAGCAGCGAACAAGCAGCACGAGGCTTCGGCTGGCCACGGCGAGCCCCCGCCACGAGGAGGCTCCCCGACCTCTGGACCTCTGGGCCCCTGGGCCGAGGCGGCGGCCCCAAAAGTCGGAGCCCCTCTTGAGCCCGCAGTGGCCATGCCCTCAGCGCCTGGACGGTGCAGTTGCACGTGCACGGCTTCCCCCGGGGCCGTGGGCGACCCGAGGAGGAGGAGGAGGAGGAGGAGGAGGAGGAGGAGGAGGAGGAGGAGGAGGAGGAGGAGGAGGAGGAGGAGGAGGAGGAGGAGGAGGAGGAGGAGGAGGAGGAGGAGGAGGAGGAGGAGGAGGAGGAGGAGGCGGAGGAGGAGGAGGAGGAGGAGGAGGAGGTGGAGGAGGAGGAGGAGGAGGAGGAGGAGGGGGAGGAGGGGGAGGAGGAGGAGGAGGGGGGAGGAGGAGGAGGAGGAGGAGGAGGAGGAGGAGGAGGAGGAGGATGAGGAGGACGAGGAGGAGGACGAGGAGGACGGGTCGCCCAAGCCCTTCGGAGAAACACTTCAGTTGCACAGGCGCCAGGGGGCCCGACAAATCCAGAGCACCACCAGGGACGCCCAGGAGGACCCCCCTGGGGCGGGGCCACGGCGGCACGCAGGGCTCCGCGCGGGCGCGCAGGGCACGTGCCTGCGAGGGGCACTGCCCGCCGCCCCTCGGCAGAGGGCGGCGACCGCGGCAGCGGGGGGGGGTCATCCATAGGAACCGAGCCATTACACGGGTCCACGTCCTTCCTTCTCCCTTTCCCCCTCCTCTTTTTATCCACAGCGTCGGAGTGACCGGGGAAGGTATTGATCCGGCGGGCGGAGGGTCAGGGCAGATGCCTCCAGTCCACCTCTCGCCCTCGGCGCACGTCGGCTCGACGCCTTCCTGCGCTGTCTTGGCCGAACCCCTCTCCTCTGACGGCGCTCCCCCTCCTTCCTGGGAGGGGGGAGGAGGAGGCATGAGGTGTAGTCGTGCTCCTCCGAATCCCCAGAAGCTGCACGGAGCGTGGGTCTGGGAAAAAGGGGGGGGCGCCGGCGGGCGCAGATCGGCTCAGAGGAGGGGGATCTCTGGGGGGGAGAGGGGCCCTGGCAGTCTTTCGCCTCTCTCGGGAACCTGCGGCTCCCTCACGGGACCCGGGACCGCCAGAGCACGGCTCGGGGCGAAGGAGCTGCGACCGAGACCCGCCCAGCGAGCCCTGCAGGCGCCGCCGGTCGGGGCCGAAGCGCCCATGACACCCCCCAAGCTCGAAACCCGAGCGGGCCCCTGGGAACCGCATGGAAGCTGCCCCCCGAACCGATCGCCTGTCGGCCCTGCAGAGACTGCCTGGGGCGGGCGGGGGGTGGAGGACGAGCAGAAGCAGGGCGGCACGGCAGGAGGTGCGCGGGGCGCGGTCCCAAGCGGGAGGAGAACGGAGACGGCCCAGCAAGAGGCCGGTGACGATGGCAACGATACGGCGGGGGCATTGGATAAGGAAGCATTGGAGAAGGAATTCAGGGTCTGGAAGCCAGTGGAACTCCAATCGTTGATCGGACATGGATGTCACCGCCGCCCTCATCAGATAAGGAACCCTCCAGGGTCTGAAGCCTCCCGTGCACGTTCCTTAACCAACGCCCCAGCCGCACGCTCCTGGGATGACGGGTGACTACCCTGCCGAGCTGGCATGTGATGAAAAGCTGTCGGCGGGCGTTTGCTTCACCTGGCAAAAGATCCAGGAAGGACTGGAAAGACCTGGCGGCCACAGATCCTAACAGCTATCTGGCTAGATCCCAGTACACAGTCTTGTCCCCAGTGCCCGTGGAATTCAGAATGAAGTCCACCAGAGTTGGCAGTGGCCAGTTACATTACCTCTAGCAGACCTCGCTGTCAAAGATCGGCGAAATCAACACAAACCGTGTGGAACATCTGGAGGCCAACCGCCTGATACCTATGCAAAAACCGGCCTAAACGGCCATAGAAGAGCCGAGCGCTGGAGAGGCATCTGGCGGTACAGTGCAGAGCTCTTGCCCAGGCTGGCGGCATCATGTGTATCCAGCTTCCTGGTAGCAACGCGTAGGTCATTGTTCAGAGGTCGGTGCAGAGGAGATTCGGTAGACAAAGCAACGCCATCTGGGCCGCGTGAAGTACAGTAGAAACGGCTTCGGAGCCGCTCAGCATCCCACCCAGTGAGCAAGAGGATGGGTCTGGACCGCCCACGGGACCCTGCACTGAGGCACGAAAAGGGAACCTGGAAGCAGTTCTGATGGGACGGGCTGCACAAATATCCGTGATATCCCCGTTTGCTTCCTTCCCTGAGCCTCTTCGGACGCCTCCACAGCTCGGTGGTCTCCCCGCCCCCTTGATTTACGGCAAGTGGATCCTCGCCCACTGTTTACGAAGCCGCACGCTGCTTACAGTTAAGTCGGGCATGTCCCCCTACAGGGGGATTTTCGACGAAAAATAAAAAAATACTAAAAAATGCTTCAACACGGTCAAAAATACCCCCCAAAAAATATAGTCCCCAAACTATTGCTTGACTATCTTTGAATATTCCTCCTGTAGAGGGACGGGCCCGACTTAAGCTTGCAGACCCGGCGCCCCAGGTCCGGGAAGGACAGCCAAGCCAACCCCCACTGACGGCACAGACATCTTCCCCCCTGCTTCCCGCGAGCCTCCAAAGGCTGATAGGACGGCCCTGGGCATGCCACGAGGCCCGCGCACGCGCGCACGTGCACTCGCGCCGGGAGGGCCTCGAGCTGCTGGATACAGGCGCGTGCCACGTAGGCGCCGAAGGCGACCAGTAGCTGCGCGCGCGCGCCCCGCTGCCCGCCAGCTTTGTCTATGATGGTGTCTGGTTGACTGCGCGATATAACTTTGGAAATTAGTCTGCGAAAAATATTATATCGGAAAACCCTCCTGGGCCCCCATCTTGGGTTCTGGGTGCCACTCCCTCCTCCTCCTCCTCCTCCTCCTCCTCCTCCTCCTCCTCCTCCTCCTCCTCCTCCTCCTCTCCTCCTCCTCCTCCTCCTCCTCCTCCTCCTCCCTCCTCCTCCTCCTCCTCCCTCCTCCTCTCCTCCTCCTCTCCTCCTCCTCCTCCTCCTCCTCCTCCTCCTCCCTCCTCCTCCTTCCTCTCCTCACTCCTCCTCCTCCTCCTTCCTCCTCCTCCTCCTCCTCTTCGACCGCCTGGGTGGGCCCCCAAAGAGGCCGCCAAGCTGGCCCAGGAGGGCCCAGAATCCCCAGACGATCGGTCCAAACTGCCAAGTCGGCCCAAGACGGCCCGAGACGCCTGCAAGAAACCCCAAGAGAGCCCCAAGAGCCTTCCCACGAGGGCCCCGGGGAGCAAAAATCATGGATCCTCCTGAAGCTCGTAAGTGTTGTTTGCCGTCGCCTTTTCAACCTCCAGGTGCTCCAAGACAGCCCGAGAGGCTCCCAGGACCGCCCCCAGACGGCCCAATAAACCCCCGAGACCGCCCTAACTAAGACGGCCCAAGAGGCGCCCAAGATGGCCAAAGAGGGCCACAAGACGACCCCAAAGGGGCCCAAGAGAGGGAAGACAAACCGAAAATGTTAGTCTTCCAGTGTCCGTGAGCCACATGTGCCAGAGGAGCCCGAGCCCTATGGGCCCTGCCAGCCTATGATGCCCTATGAGCCCCTCGAGCCCAGTGAGGCCTCTTAGCCCTACGAGCCCTATGCCCCCGCGAGCCCTATGAGCCACGTGAGCCTTACGAGCCCTGTGAGCCATATGAGCCCTGTGAGCCATGTGAGCCTTATGAGCCCTACGAGCCTCTTGAGCCCTGCGAGGCCTCTTAGCCATACGAGCCCCATGACCATCGCGAAACCTATGAGCCTATGAGCCCCATCAGCCCCAAAACCATGTGAGCCCGACGAGCCCTACAAGAAGTATGGCCCCCATGAGCCGTATGAGCCCTACGATCCCTGTGAGCCTCATGAGCCCCTCTCAATCCTTGTGAGCCCTGCGATTGCAGGCGGCTGGGGGGTCTGCACTGGTTGGGACGCCAGAAAATCAGTCGGGAGGGGGGACGAAGCCAGATCCACACAAAATCGGACCCTGGACCCCTCCTGGGGTCCGTGTAGTTCAGTTGTTCATCCCTGATCCGCTGTTCACAGTCCCGCCCGGGAGCCGAAAACAGCCCCCCGAAGCCGAAAAACAAAAACCTCGGAACCCAAAACCCAAAACCTACCCGCCCTTCCTGCTGGCCAGAACCAATGCTGGGCTACCTCAGACCCCCAGACGGCTCCGACCTTGCGAGCACTATGACCCTATGAGCCAAATGCGCCGGAGGCCCCATGAGCCATGTAAGCTTCATGAGCCCCATGGGCACTGCGAGATGCCATGAGCCCCTTGACCTACGAGCCCTACAAGCCCTATGACCAACATGACCCCTAGGAGCCCTATGAACCACATCAGCCCCCATGAACTCCATGAGCCCTATGAGCCATATGCGCCCAAAGCCCCATGAGCCCTATAAGCCAGAGGACTCCCAAGATCGACTCCCCAGAGCCCTCTGAACCACCGCACAGGCCCTACGAGCCTTACGACCCTGTGAGCTCAATGATCTCCCATGATCCCTGTGACACCTGCTAGCCCGATGAGCCCTATGACCCCCCTGGGCCTCATGATACCTGTGAGCCCTACTCCTTACGCACCCTTCAGCCACACAACCCTTCTGACAGCCCTGCGCGCCCTACGGGCGCTCTGACCCCTTATGAGCCCCCTGAGCCCTGCGTGTCCGTGAGCGCCATGAGCCCCATGAGCCCCTAGGAGCCCTGCGAGCCCTATGGTACCCTACGATCCCCCACGAGCCCTGCGAGGCCTCTCAGCCGTGCGAGTCCTCTCACCCCCGTGAGCCCCGTGAGCCCCACGCACCCTACAGGCCCTACGAGTCTTGCAAGCTTCATGAGCCATATGCGCCCGTAGCCTCACGAGCCCTCTGGGCCTTATGCGCCCACAGCCCTATGAGTCCCACGAGCCACGCGAATCCCCACGATGAGCCCTGTGAGCCCGAAGAGCCAGATGCGGCCAGAGACCCGCGAGCAGTATGGGCCGCATTAGCCCTGGGAGCCAGATGTGCCCGAAGCCTCATGAGCACATGAGCCACACGTAACCGCGCGATGTGCCCAATGAACTCCATAAGCTCTATGGGCCGTGTGCGCCCGAAGCCTCGTGAGCCCTATCAGCCATGTGCACCCAGGGCCCTTTGATTCCGATGAGCCACGCGACCCCCCACGGTGAGCCTACGAGCCCGACAACCCACGTGAGGAGCCTCCCGCAAATTACAAGCCTCGTGAGAGCTATGAGCCCCAACCAGAATCTGCGCACGGGAGCAGCCCATCCCGTCGCAACAATGTGTCTTACACGCCCAGCAAGGCCCATGCGTCAAGAGGCCGCAGCGCAGAGGACACCAGGGGTCGCGGCGCGCTTGCGCCATGCGACCAAGATTAGAAAGGCGAAGCGAAGCAAACTGGTGGAATATTGTTCATACACATATATGTATGTATGTGTATGTATATACATATGTATGCGTATCTATCCATAATGCTTATAAACGTACGTCTATATCTATATATATATATATATATATATAGATATATAACATGTACTCATGAAGAATTGATGTGTACGTGCATCACTTAAAATGCTTTCCCTGCTGCACGCCAGCGCAAGGAGCGGACAAGGGGGGCGAGGGGAACGGAAAAGAGCTGGGCCCTAACGCAAGCTCTCGAGGGGGCCAGGAGGGCTGTCGCCGGAGCGGGACCAGCAGAAGGATATGCACACACCTGATGCTCGCCTCCCTAGCTGGCGCAGGGAACGAATCCAGCACCAGAAACAAAGAACGAAAATGCCTCGCATTTCGCTGCCGGTTGCCCGAGCCTGGGAATCCTCCACAGAAAAGCTGCCATCTCTGGGGTGCTCATATCTTGCTCCCGCTGGCTTCTGCCAGCTTTCCCCCGAATCCCGCCAGCGGAAATGGCCTTGTTTTACTTCCACCGCCTTCCGCAGGCCTTCCGCAAGCTTCAACCGAAGAGAGGGCAACTCTCGGGAGCGGCCACGAGAGGGGCGTCCAAGGGGGGGGGGTGGGGGGGGGGGGGCAAATCATGGCCGGCGGCATGTGCGCGGTCCAGGGGGGAGACCCAGGAACGTAATGAAATAAGAAAAGGCGCCATGTGAAATCTGGGGAGATATCATGGCCCCCGTCATGATATCAACCCCCTCCCTAGTCATCACCCCCCGAAACTCCGTCGATCCTCGAAGGCGAGTGGAGCGCCCCGTGTGGCTGAGTTGGCGTTCCAGTCAGAGGCCTGCCGAGGCCTGCCAGAGCCCTGCCGGGGTGTTCCGAAGGCCCTCCCCCGGCCGTGCATGCGCCCGCCGCGGCGGCGGGGACTCGAGGCTGTCTGGCCGAAGACGGCTCTAAGACACTCGCAGGCGGGGCTCCCCCAGGGGGCCACATGCGAGCCCTACCCCCACCCCACCCCCCCCTTTCTGAGGGGGAGGGTGGGGTTCACTAGCTCCCGAGGGAAAGTGAACCCCACCCTCCCCCTCAATACAGTGCGGGGTAGGGGTAGGGGTTTCGCCTGTGGCCCCCTGTCCCTCCCTGACTATTCCTGGGCTATTTTGAGATAGTCCTCCTGTGAGGGACAGGCCCGACTTAAACTCATCAGACAGATGCACATTCGGCGGTGGACAAACCTCGACCGAAACCCACAGACCTGGACCCGCAAAAACGACGGCCTCGACGCCCTCTCGCGAACCGAAAACGGCCAATTCCTTAATCGACGTGTCAGGGTAGGAGGTCTGTCCACCTCCGACACACTGCTTGATCTCGCAGACGGCCCTCCGTTTCGGCACCCCGAGGCCGTGCGGGTGCCGAACCGCGCGGCGGCCTCGGAGCGCGCCCAACGGCCTCACACCGCGCGGTCCGTCGCGGCACGGCTTTGGGACCTCTCGGAGGCCTCTCGCGCCCGAGACGCTTTCGGGGCACGACCCGAGTCCCACCCTCCAAAACGGTTTAAAAAAGCTTTCAAAATTATGGGAAATTGTAGAAAAAGCTTCAGCTTTTTGTTGTTTTTGAAGGGGGCCTCAACCATAAAAACACAGAGAACACTAAAGACACAGATCCTACCGATTTCACGAGTGTATTTGGATCCAAAAACATACAAAACACGAGCAAACCACGAAGTGACCCCGAATCCCCACTGACGCACCGCGGTGTGGTCACCACACCGTTTGGGGGGCCCCGATCCAGCAAACGAGCCCACGCAGATCTCCCTGGGGACACCAGGATGGCCTCAAGGTAACCCAGGAGGGCCAAAGTTGGCTCTGAGACGGCCCCAAGAAGCCCCAGGATCGCCCCAGGATGGCACCAGGGGACCCCAAGATGGCTCCGCGAAGATCCCTCCGACAGGCAAAAATCGTCGAATTCATGTGCGCTGTTGCACATGCCATGGTTTGAATTCCTTGCTCTTTCGAAAGCCTCCCAAGAGGGTCCAAAAGGACCACAGGAGACCCAGACGGCCCAAGAGACCCAAGATGGCCCCAAGAAGAGCCCAGAAGGCCCAGCTGACCTCCAAGACGGCCCCAGGATGGCTCCAGACCGGCCTAAGACCCCTCCAAAGCGGCACCAAGACCTCCACAAGACCAAAAGAAGCAGCTCAAGAACGCCAGAGAAAGACCCAAAGAAGGCCCCCAAGACAGCACCAAGAGAGTACTCCGAGTTTCTTACTAAGCGTCGGGGGGGCGTCACCCCCGCCGACCGTCCCACATCGACCCCCGTTGCGGGCAGCCACCGCGCGCCGAAGGCGCTCCGACCCCCGTCGCGGCGCGACGACGAGGCGAGGTTGACCCCTGTCGGGGGGTAGCCCCCCACGCTTATCAAGAAACCCAGAGTATCGAGGCCATCCCACAATTAAGGCCCGCCGCGTCTCCCGCTCCGCGGGCCCAGAGATAAGCTGAGCACGGTGCCCGCTATATCATTACGGCCTCTTGGGTGTGTTTTGGGCCTCCCAGGCACCTCTTGGGGCCGTCTTGGGGCACCTTTGGAAGCCTCGGGGGCCATCTTGGGGCCGTCTAGGAGGAGGTCGATCAAAGGAGGGGCCGTTGTACATAAGGGCCCTGCCCCCAGGATGCCAACATGTGGCCGACACCTTAGTGACATCTGTCAGTTTGGCATTTTCCCCGAGGCTGCCCCATGCATTCCACCTTTCTGGCGTATCCGTGCTGGGCCTCGTCATTCTGAAGGGAGGAGAACACACGAAAGGACGATAAGGAGCGTTGCATGGAAAGGGGCACCAAATCTCGCACTGCGCTGAACCAGAGAAGGTCAAACCCCCAAGGTCGCGGCGCTGCAGGAGTCATAGGCGTTTCTAGAGATGCTGCACTTCACCTGCCATGCGGCCCCCTCGATCCCCTCCACTTATGCTGCTCCCATCGTCCTTAAGGACCACATCCCAGAGATAATTTCGAACACCCGGAAAAGTGTCGAAAGAGTTTCGAAATAGTGTCGAAACAGTATTGGACGAGTGTCTCCCAGGGCCCGACACGTGAAAATCCTCGAGTTGTCGGATACTTTTCTGGCGCTCGAAATTCTTTCTGACGATCAAAGCTAAAGTAGGCTGGAACATCATAACCCTCCACCTCGTCTTGCCCGTCTCTCTTCTCGTGGAGGGCCTGAAGTCCGCTCTCGCCCCAGTGTCGCGCCTGGGCCTGCTCGCAGTGCGCCGCCGCCCCGCTCGCGGCGCGACCGGCACAAAATAAGTCGCGAGCTGTGGGTCTGCGTTCCAGGCACGGCTCCGGGGCGAGGGGCCCTCTGGGAATCGCCGCGGTCCTCGCCCTGAGCACCCCCGTGCGCATGAGACCCGCGCGAGGCTACACGTCGTTCATTACTAATCGGGCTCGTTTCTAATTGTGCTCGCTTCTAATTGTTCCTGGCCCCCTGGTGGCAAGGAAGAGGCCCAGGATAAAACAATTAGAAATGAAAGGAGCGTGGCCCCCCAACAGAAACAAAGAACTCTCGAAAGAAATCAACAATGTGTACGGCTGACCGCGCCAGCTCCATGTTCCACGTGACCGCTGCGAGGACAGCCCCTGGAATGCTGATCGCGTCAGGCTGCCCTGGCGTGCGCTGGTTCGGGTCCAAATGCATCGATGATCGTAGCGAGGCTGGAAAGGTCCACCGAAGCATCGTAAGGCAAGAACTCCCGATGGGATTCGAACCTTGACAGTGTAGCACCACACATCATGTTATTCCTACACGTCCTCCTCCTCCTCCTCCTCCACCTCCTCCCCCTCCTCCTGTTCCTCATCATCACCGTAATCACCATCATTAGCATTACCATGACCATGATGATTAAACAATTATCATTAACATCGACGTCACCATCAACATGACAAGTGTGAGCGAAATTTGCCGAACCATCATCCATATCACAACTATCCACACCATCAACAGCATCGTCGCCATAGGCATCATCGAAATTGCCATTACCATCATTGGCAGCATCACCCCCATCAGAAGCAGCAGCATCAGTATCATCATCAACATGATGATCACTACCATCATCACTGGCATCGTAACCACCCTCATCATCAGAATCGTCATCAGCATCACCAGCAGCAGCATCATCGTGATCGATATCGTCATCATCAGCATCATCATCGTCATCATCAGTATCATCATCACCATCATCATCATCATCGTCATCATTGTCATCATCACCATCATCATTAATATGATCATCATCAGCAGCATCAGCAGCATCATCATCAAATCATCATTATCATCATCACCATCATCATCATATCCTCCATCGCCCCGCCCCCCTTCGAACACTCTCACCCCTCCCCCTTATCACTATCCTGCCTCCCTCCTCCTCTCTCATGCCTCCTCCTCCCGCTCCATCCCTTGCACTTTCAAAAATTGTTGGTTGACCACGCGGCGTGTCGGTAAGGCTGGCCGGGCGTTTCGCCCGAGATTCCGACCCCGTTTGTGACCGCGAAGCTTGAAACCTTCAACAGTTACACGGATGGGGGGCGGGCGAAATGTTGATCTCGCCTGGGCGCGCATGTTTGATACCAAAAATTCAAACAATTAAACGGTCGGAGCAAGTTGTTGTTCTCGTGCAGCGCCGCGCGCATGTGTCTCCAACACTTTCCAACAGGGACATGGGTAGAGGGGGGCCGTTTTCAGAATGTGGCTCTCGCTGCCGCCCACGGTCGTGTGAAACTATTCCACCAAGAACATTGATGGAGGGAAGGGCACGTTCAAAATGTTGCTTTCGCACAGCGCGCATTCGTCTTGAAAGCTTCCAGCCGTTACCGGGAAGGACGAGGTTGTTCTCAAGATGTGGTTGCCGCCTTAGCGCCGCACATTCGTCTTAAGAAGTTCCGACAGCTGACAATGATAGAGGGGGTTGTTTTCGAAATGCGGCTCTCGCCTGTGCGGCGCACATATTCGTCTTGAAAGCTCCCGACTGTTACACGGATGGCGGCGGCTCCTTTTCCCCTTTCGTTCGAGACTTGGTTCAACTTTACGATCCGGCATCCAAGAAATCCCAACCGCTACTCGGACAGAAGGCGGCTCCTTTGCCAACCAGGGCTCTCGCTTGAGAGACCATTGGGAGATGTATGACGAGCATCCAGAAATCTGCACGGATTGAGGACGGCTCTGCTTCAAAATGGTGCTCTCGCTTGACACTTCCTTGGGCTTTCTGATTCTACACGGTAAGATCCATACAGCTAGAAACATTCGGGGGCGCGCAAACATGGACTAGCGATCCATGGATTTGGCGCGCGGTCGCCAAATCCATGGATCGGGGGAGGTGCCCTCCCAAAAATGCGGCCGGTGCCGCCTCTTTCGGAGGCGGAAAGCCGCGATTTCCCTCGAAAACGGGACCCGTCGCTAATCCACGCCCCTTTAATCCAGGTTTGCGATCGCCTGAAGCATGAGTGGCATCTCTTCTCCGCAACGCGGCCCTCGCCGGAAGAGAGGGGCCATATCATGGGGCGCTCGTCTTTGGAGGGGCCACCTTTCGAAGTGGAAACAACTTCCTGTACGGACTGGCGGGGCACGGACCTGTGACGGGCGGGCATATTGCGACATCGTTGATGCATCTTGGGTTTACTCTGGCCCACATATCCCCCCCATCAACATCCTCATCATCATCACCACCATCATCAGCATGATCATCAGCTGCATCAGCATCAGCAGCATCATCATCCTCATCCTCGTCATCATCACCATCACCATCACCATCACCGTCACCATCATCATCATCATCACAATCACCATCACCATCACCATCCTTCTCTTCCACTCCTCCTCGTCCTCCTCCTCCTCTTTCTCTTCCTCCTCTTCCACCTCCTCATACTTCCCCTACCCCCTCTTCCTCCGACACATCCTCCTTCTCCTCGCTCGTCCGTCCGTCTCCTGAAGTCCCCCCTCTCCTTCCTCGTGCCTCCTCCCTCCTGTCTGCAACCCTACCGTTTCTACCGTTTCGGCCATCGTGAGTCGATCTCGCAGGCGGCATCTAATTTACGCGAATTATCGATCGAAGATCGGGGCGGCTGCGGCCGCGGCGGCAGCAGGCAGGCCGCAGGGCTGCCACCCTCCTCCTCCTCCCCCTTCCGTCCCCGCGCCATCCCCTGACCTGCTCTCCTCGACCCTCCCGCGGGGGACGCCAGCTGACCACCTCACCAGTTCCCACGCAGGCACCTCCTGGGCGCAGCTTCGGCCTGGCCCAGCATAGGGTCGGGCATGTCCCCCAACAGGCGGACTTTGGGCGGAAAATAACTAATACCCAAAAAATAGTCATTATCCCAGTGCGACCCTACCTAGGAGTTGGGACCCCTAGGAAAGCAGCATTAGTAGTAACAGTAACGCTAAGCTAAAGCTAAGCTAAATCTTAGCTACAGCTAAGCTAAAGCTAAGCTAAAGCTAAGCTAAAGCTAAGCTAAAGCTAAGCTAAAGCTAAGCTAAAGCTAAGCTAAAGCTAAGCTAAAGCTAAGCTAAACGCTAAGCGTAAAGCTAAGCGAAACGCTAAGCTAAAGCTAAGCTACAGCTAAGCTAAAGCTAAGCTAAAGCTAAGTTAAAGCTAAAGCTAAAGCTAAAGCTCCCAGGGGACTGGGGGGAACCGCTCCCAGGGGACTGGGGGAACCGCCCGGGGCGCTTAGCACTGCCCGGCCCCTTTAAGCTAAGAGAGTAAGAACCCTTCTAGGCAGAGCCTAGATAGGGAAAAATGATATTCAAAAATGGTCAAAACATCGTCCACAGACTACGTTCTGACTATTTCTGAAGATTCCTCCTGTAGAGGGAGAGGCCCGACTGAAGCCCGGCATCGGCGAGGCGGCCAGCTGCGATCCCTAGACCCCTCCGCCCTCCCGCCCGCATAGCCGGGCCCCGCTCCACGAGGTCCGGCACGCGCCCCAGGTGCACCCGCACCTTCCCGAAGTCCAGCACGGGCCCCCCGCCGCCGCCGCCGCCTCCGGGCGGCCGGCGGGGCGACCCGCTGGGAGGCCCTGGTCTTCCCTCCTCTGCAAAAAAACACCGTCGCGGCGGTCGGAGTACACGGGCGGTCGGTGGGCGGGGGGGGGGGGGGGGGAAACAGGGCCGGGGGGAGGAGAGCGGAGGAGCTTCCTCCCCTCCTCCTCCTCTCCTCCTCCTCCTCCTCCTCCTCCTCTCCTCCTCTCCCTCCTCCTCCTCCTCCTCCTCGTCCTCCTCGTTCTCCTCCTCCTCCTCGTCCTCCCCCTCGTCCTGCTCCTCGTCCTCCTCCTCTTCCTCCTTCATTCCTCTTCCTTGTGAACAGTTCCTCCCTGTCGCACCCCGAGGCCAAAGGAAGGTCGGGCCGGGCGTTTCGCCTGAGATTTCTTTACCACTTCTGAGCCTGAAGCTTAAAAACTGACAACCGTTTCACAGATGAAGGGTGGGCCGCTTCCAACATGTGGCTCTCGACTACACGACGCACGCACTCGATTTAAACACTTGCAAGAGCTTCACGGATTGAGGGTGGGCCGTTTTCAAAATTTGACTCTCGCCACAGCGCCGCGCACATTGGTGTTAAAGAATTGCAAGAGCTTCACGAAGTAACGGCGGGTCGTTTTCGAAATGTGGCTCTCGCCTCAGCGCCGCGCACATTCGTTCAAAAATGTAAGATCTTCACGGATTGAGGGCGAGTAGTTTTTAAAATATGACTCTCGCCTTAGCGCCGCGCACATTGGTTTTGAATTGCAAGAGTTTCACCAGTTGAGTGTCGCCTTAGCGCCGCGCGCATGTGTTTTGAAAATTTGCCAAGAGTTTCACCAGTTCTCATGGTTCACGTGCCAGAAACGGCGTTTTGGAACGATTCAGGACTGTCAGGGCGCAACAGTTACTTTGATTCGCGGTGTTGAAGACCCAAGAATGATGTTCTGGCACGATGAAGTGTCGTCTACAAGCATCAGTCAGGTTGACTCGTGGCGTTGAAAATCTCAGAATGATGTTTCGGCACGCGTCCGGATTTTCACACGGTTGTCCCCCAACGGGGCAAGTCCATCAGTGGAAACGAACCCTTGTAGAAGCCTAGCAAGAGGGATCTTGGCGGGAGGGTATATTCCAACATCGTTGATGAGTCTTGGGTTTACAGTGGTCCTCCCCCTCCTCCTCCTGCTTCTCCTCCTCCTCTTCCTCGTCCTCCTCCTGCCCCTCATCATAGCCATAATCATCGTCATCCTAATCATCCTCATCCTCATCCTCATCCTCATCCTCCTCCTCCTCCTCCTCCTCCTCCTCCTCATCATCATCATCATCATCATCATCATCATCATCATCATCATCATCATCATCATCATCATCATCATCATCGTCATCATCATCATCATCATCATCATCATCATCATCATCATCATCATCATCATCATCCTCGTCACCATCATCAGCAGCAGCAGCCGCAGCAGCAGCAGTATGAGCATCGGCATCAATATCATCGGCACCATATTAGTGATCCTGCTCCGCCTCCTCATCCTATGTGTCCTCCTCCTTCTCCTCCTCCTCCTCCTCGTCCTCCTCCTCACCTCAACCACCACCACCACCACCATCGTCATCATCAGAATCAGCATCATCATCATCATCATCATCATCATCATCATCATCATCATCATCAGAATAGTCATCATCAGAATCAGCGGCATCAGCGTCGTCGTCATCATCATCTTCATCATCATCAGCATCTTCATCATCATCAGCAGCAGCACCATCACCACCACCAGCATCATCACCAACATCACCATCAGCAGCAGCATCATCATCATCATCATCATCATCCTCGTCATCATCATCATCATCAGCAGCAGGCGCAGCAGCAGTATGAGCATAGGCAGCAATGTCATCTGCACCTTCTTATCTATCCTGCTCCACCTCCTCATCCTATGTGTCCTCCTCCTCCTAGTCCTCCTCCTCCTCACCTTCACCACCACCATCGTCATCATCATCATCATCATCATCATAATCACCATCATCGTTATCATCCGGATAGTCATCATGATAATCAACGGCATCAGCATCGTCATCATCAGCATCTTCAGCATCATCATCAGCATCATCATCGTCATCATCATCATCATTAGCACCATCACCACCACCAGCATCATCACCAGCATCACCATCAGCAGCATCATCATCAGCATCATCAGCATCAGCATCATCGTCATCACCATCATCAGCATCATCGGCAGCAGCATCAGAATCATCATCATCGTCGTCGTCATCCGCATCATCACTATCAGCATCGTTATCATCATCAGCATCATCATCACCACCACCCCCACCATCATCATCAGCATCCTCAACATTAAGATCACCATCACCATAATCATCATCGGCAATAGCACCAGAATCAACATCCTCATCATCAGCAGCATCATCAGTATCCACTTTACCAAGGGAGTCATCATCAGGATCAGCATCATCATCACCACTACCATCGTAATCAGCAGAAGCATCATCAACATCATCGTCAGCATCAGCATCAGCATCATCATCGGCATCAGCATCAGCATCATCATCATCATCACCATCACCATCACCATCATCATCATCATCATCATCATCATCATCATCATCATCGTCATCATCACCATCACCATCGGCAGCAGCATCATCATCAGCATCATCAGCATTACCATCAGCATCAGCATCAACATCACCATCACCATCATCATCAGCAGCAGCCTCATCATCAGCATTATCATCAGCCGCATCATCACCATCATCAGCATCATAAGCCGAAGCATCATCACCAGCATTAGCAGCATGCTCATCATCATCATCATCATCATCATCAGCATCATCATCATCATCATCATCATCATCATCATCATATTCATCATCACCATCCTCATCACCATCTTCATCATCAGCATCATCATCTTCATCGTCTCTCGATCGATCGATCTACAGGGCGAGGACACATACGCAGCCTTTGCAGGGAGAACAAGAGAATAGAACAGCACGACCGACAGGCGAGGCCAACACCCACGACTCCCTCCTCTTCATCCTCATCCTGCTCCTTATGATCCTCCGTATCCCTCCTCCTTCTCCTGCTGGAGGATGGGAAACACTGGGACGGAGGGAGAGGAGGCAAGGGACCAAAGGAGGTGGACAAGCAGGCCGTCGTCGTCGTCGTCGCTGTCCTCCTCCTCCTCCTCCTCCTAGCCCCTCTGGCCCGAGGGTATTTGTGCGTTCGGCACAGAGCACCCACAGGACCGCCACCGCAGCGTCCCTGATACTCCCCAAAATGTTCATGCTCGGGCAGCTCCACGATGCAACGCTTGCGGGTATGTTCATACAACGTGTTTTCATTACGACCGGAAGGGCGTTAGGCTGACATCGCGCAGCAGATTCGGTCGTGCAGGGCGAATGGACTACAGGCGACACAGTGCACGGGGGATTCTAGGGGACTACAGTGCCAGCAGGATCGACTAGCATTTGGTCGGGCCTGTCCCCCTGCAGGGGGATTTTGGACGAAAAATAAAAAATACCCCAGAAATGCCCCAAAGATGCCCAACAAGATTCAAAAAATAGTTCCCAGGCAATTTTTTTACTATTTTCAAATATTCCCCCTGTAGAGGGACAGGCCCGATTTAAAACTAGCACAGTTTCATAGGGTGAGGTGGCCACGAGCGCCAGAAGTGATAGGGAGACAGACGGGACTGGCTTTGCAATTGAATGCGAAGGTCCTTCAGAACCACATGATCAGACACATCATAACCCCGAAAGATTGTGAAGGAAGGTTGGAAACAGGACATGACGTTCACTGTAAGATATGCCCCAACTGAGCCTCAACGCTCAAAGAAGGAGAGGCAGGCTCAGGAGAAGAAGTGCAACAGTGTCTGGAAAGGAGTGTGTCTGATTTGCTTGATTCGCCTCCAGCTAGAACAATACATATCATGATGTTTGGTGTCAATGTTCGGCTAGGGGGGGACAAATATTTAAGGGAGCTTGTCTTGAGAACTCACGTCATCCTGACCCCCGGCGCGCGAAGGAACGGGCCCGCCAACCGCGCGTTCAGTTTCCAGGAAATCCAGGACATCCAGGAAATCCGGCGGCCAATTCCAAACCAGCGCACTCTCTCGTGTGACATCCTCTGAAAACTGGCCCCACGAGCCTCCCCAAGGAGGCCCCAAGAGGCTCCATTGCTCCGCTTTCGGGAAATGCGGGAAACCCGGCGACGAACTCCAAACCAGCGCCCTCGCGTGGGACATCCCCAGGAACCGGCCCCCCGAGCCTCCCCAACAAGGCCCTCAAAGGCTCCTCTGTTGCGTTGCCCGGACATCTGGGGAATCTGGCTAGGAATTCCACACCGGCGCCCTCTGGTGGGACCTCCTTAGACAACCAGCCTCCCAAGCCTCCCCAAGGAGGCCCCCAGACGCCTGCCGGGGCGCGCCGGGGCGCGCTGGGGCGCACCAGGTGTCCTAGTCCAGGGCTCTCGCGCGAGACATCCTCCCAAAGTCGACCCATGGCGCGCGAGAAAGTCGGGCCCCACGGCGCCTCCAGGGACCATGTCTAGGAATCTGCCGGCGCGCGCTGGGACGCACCGGGCGTGTCCCAGTCTGGGGCTCTCGTTGGGCGCCCGAGTTATCCAGGCTCACTCGGGCCCGGGGCAACTCGGGTTGACCCGAAAAGCGAGCCCGAGTTAGCCCTGACCCGAGTTACTCCTGGTGATTTGGGGCTCAGGACTCCCGAGCTAGCCGGGGCAACTCGGGCCCAGGGCAACGTGGGTTTCGGAATGCCGAAAAACGAGCCCGAGTTAGCCCCGACCCGAGCTACCCCATGATGGCTCGGGGCCCGGATCTCGCTCGAGACGCCCCGACCCGCAGCGCACGAGAGACTCAGGCCCCACCTCGGGGACGGCCAGGAGGGGGGCGTCAAAGGGGGGGGGGGCGCAGACCGTGGCTGGCGGCACGTGCGCGGCCCAGGGGGGGACCCAGGGACGCAAGGAAAGAAGAGG